CCCCCAGCCAGCCGCAGCAGCAGTAGGGGTGCGTGACTGGAGCCTTTGCGTGCGCCCGTCCCCGCTGGATCTGAGCGGAGGGGTTGGATCCGGGGCAGGAGGGGCTGACAGCGCAGGGCATTTGTTACAGAGTGCTCCTCTCTCCTGCGTTTTCCTATTCTTATCGTTGTGCTTGCTTTATTACTGTATTTTTGTGCCAGAAGAATGTCACAAGCCTCTCTCTAAGTGAAAAAGAGGAGAGAGACTTTTGAAAAGACCTTAGGATTTTTTGAGAACTATGACAAATAATCTCCAAGAAAAATGCTAGTGAACTCGTCTGAATATAAGTATGTTTGTAATAAGGTGATTTCTGTATTGGCGAGTAATTCCTGAAACTCGGAACTTTCTTCGCAGTGCTGGAAAAACAGATTCTTTCACAATAGCTTAGTATAACGGTTTCGCTAAAGTACACCCACTGTAAGTAGTTGCTGTTTACATCGAGTGTTACATAGGCGATTGGCCTCTTTCAGCACTTGTTGACTGTTAGGGTACTAAACAAAATACGTGTTGTTATTTTATGTTTTGATCTTAAAGCCGCTTAAGAGAAAGGCATACTTAAAACAGCCGTGTGTTGCAGTACGAACAGGCAATTTTTGATCGCTGGCAGTTTGGTGGATAAGCACATGTTATTCCCTCTGTGTGCCCTGTGAACGCAGGGGGTTGATTTCTGTGAGTGCAACTGGCAATCTTATCACATTCATAACGGATTTGTAGGTCAGAAGTAATATTGTTGTTCATTTTATTGGTGCTGGCTTGACCCTTTCACCTATAAATTTTACTTTCTTCGTTATTACTACTTGCGCCTAAGTGTTAGTTTTTGTAAGGAATCAGGTTCAGTATGCTAACTCTGCTTCAGTGATATCTTGTGTTTCCTCAGCGTTGCTCAAACCCGAGCAGAAACACATCAGCGCGGTATAGTAAATCTTTTGAAACTAGATTTATTTTCTAACGGCTATAAAAAGAGTTACCGTATTAATAATTACATCAGTGTCTGACAGTTGCTGATGGTCATCTGGAGCTAAATTCTAGGATATATGTTCCACCGCTGTTTCCTTATCTCACAAAACTATTCAAAATGCAAAATCAGAAGGCTTCCCTTAAGTTTACTGCTTTACGAGATTTAAGCAACTATCAGCAGAAAGTCAAAATTCGAAAAACATAGCTGCCCTTCTGATTTTTAAAGTAGAAAACTTGATTCGGTATTGAAACGCTTACCCGTATGCATTTTACTTCATTTATTAGCTTGTAATTAAATAAATCAGCAACAGAAATTAAAATCTAAATCACAAAAGGTAATTATCCAGTGTATTTCAAGTGCATTTTCAAATATATAATTCCAATATTCAAGCGTTATTATATAAGCAGAATCCAAATTTCTTTTGAATATATTTAAATAACATTTCAAGTATATTTATGGAATGTTAGAAATAGAACAAGCAATATATATGAAACGAAAAATGTAAACTTGTTAAGTTCAGACACTTCAAAAGACAATTAACAAAAGTACCATGATAAAATCTACCTTTTTAAATGGTATCTTCTTTAGCAGAAAATGTCCTTGAAGTATCCAAAATGGCAATTTAACTTCTGTTCACCAAATCACAAAACACCAACATCCACAATTTCAAAGACAATGTGAGATCACAATATTTGATACAAATTAAAAGGTACATTAGGGTTTGTTCAGGTGGCATATCCAAATAGCTTTTACTCACAGAGGGATTACATAAAAATACTGGATTTTGTTATAATCCGTTGGTATCGTTCCTAGGCAGAATGGTCACAATCATGTTAAATTACAGCCAGTTTTGCTTTCCGAGTAACTTTTTTTTTTCTCACGGGGGACTGCAAAACTGTGATGAAGAGGAGTGATACTTGCTGTTTTTATTTGTTTTTCTTTGTGAAGAGCCTAAGCTATATTCCTTTTTAAAAGAGAATATTATTTGCATTGTCAAGTGGAAACGTTTGACTTTTCGAACAGGAAGCTTAAACTTCATCAGCATAGAAGCAGATGTACCGTTTAGGCCCGTTTTTTATTACCCTCTAAAGTTTCTCCAAACTTTTCGGGTTGGTGAGTATTTCCCTAGCCAGTCGCCACGTTTGTTTGGCCGCGTTTTCCAGGGCCGAATGAGGTTTGCCCTGAAACAGGTCTAAGTTGGGCAAGAAGTAATGTGGGCACCTCCTGCACTGAAGGCAGGAGATGAGCTGCAGTAAAATCCCGTTGAGCCGGTCACCCAAGCAGGACTCGTCCCAGTCCGATTCTCGGGGATGCTTTTCGCATTCGTATGAAACCAGAGTCTTCATGTGATAGTTGTTGAGGGGCTGGCCCGGCAGCTCCAGGTGCCGGTCCCGTAAGGTTTTGAGGATAGAGAGGCATTTCTTTCTGCAGCCGCCCATCTGCAGTCTGTTCTCGGCTTCGGCGAACTGCAGCACCCAGGCATCGCTCTCGGCTGAGCTCTGCTTGCCGGCCAGCGAGTGGCACTCCTTGGACAGGAGGTTGAAGCCCTCCGCTTTGACCTCGGCCACCCGGTTGGGTCCCGGCCAGGGGATGTGGGGAAGCGGCCAGTGGGCAGCACTCCTTGGCCAGATCCCCGTGCATTTGAACGCCGGAGTAATCTGCACTACGTATCTATCCCTGATTCTCAGCTTCACTTCGCTGGTGTCCGCTACCATCTTGACCACATCTCTGTAACTACATTTATCCACGGCTTGAGCCACTAGAGTCTGAAACCTGGAGCGGATTTTGCGAGCGGAGAGGTAGCCAGACGCCGTGATGAACTCCACCCAGAGGGACATACTCCTCTTGCGCCCGTCGCTTAACTTTAACACAGCGCAGCCCGGCAAAGAGCCGTCGTCCACGAAGTTGAAAACCCCCATTTGGTTCAGATAAAGCACCACTTCAAACTCCGTGGGGGAGATGACTTCCAGCCCCTCGTAGCGATTGTCCATCTCGTTCAAGGAACTGATGAAACGAGGCTCCTGCACCTCCACTTCCTTCAGCACGTCCGACACCACTTTGCAGACTTCGCGGATCGTTTTAGCGATGGCAGCTTTCCGGGCTTGGCATTTCTCGTTGTAGTATTTATTCAGATGATACACCAGCTTGGCCTGGGCCGCGATCATGTTGGGGCAGAGATCCGGGTTGTATACCGGAGTCTCGCAATAGGCTGTGGGATCCAATGCGGCTGCTAAGGCTGGAGCCAACTTCAGAGGAGAAACAGGCTGCTGCACTCTGAAATGTAACAAATGTTTTTCAAAATGCGCTGTGGCTGCTGCTAAGGGGGGGCGGGGGACTGGAGGGGGCGATATTTTTCCTGCCCCTTTTTTTAAAGGGTCCGTGGGTGAGAGGAAAGCATCGAGAGCTGCACCTTCCCCAGCAGCAATAAAAACAAAAGTTGAACTGAGACACAGCGAGGCTTCCAGCAGTCAAAATAATAAAACCTCTTCGTATTTATTTATGTTTTCCTGTAATAATCACTGTGTGTGTGCAGGGTGGTTAATCAGATGGTGGAAAAAGTGCCGTGTGTGTGTGTGCGTGTGTGTATATGTCAGAAGAAGCTGGCTGTTGGTTTGTATAAGAGCCCAGATGCACTCGTGTGGAAATTATAAAGGCAGGGCCAGGCAGGCGGGCGGCCAATCGCCACTGGGCTCGTCACTGCAGCCTCTTTCGGCTCAAACGCGGCTAATTAATCCCTCGCTAGGAGATAGATACGTATACACAGACGCACACACATATACAAAGGTAGAAGGTTACTGGCAGAAAACCAGCCCGGCCATCTATACGTTCGGAAATCAAGAGAAATCGCTCTCCTTTGGGTGTCACTTGAAGTGTACTGACGTTTTGAAAGGACCTGGCAAAACTGTGCTGCTCTGCACTGAATCCCCGTTTGTCTCCTCACGGCTGAAACGTGCATGCAGGTGTATTAATGGGCATCCATCGACTAGGGCGCCGCGGCCGAGGGCTCGCTCTTTCGGCAGCAGCGGCGTGCGGGCATTAACTCACGCTTGGCGTCAGACCGCGCCGTCCTTTCCTCCCGATAGTTGTCTGTAACTGCAAGTGAGAAGTTTTCTCCCTCGTGAACTGGCCAGTGAACAAGGCAGCACATTCACGGCACTGTAGTGATCTTTGGAATAAAACATTACGCCATACTCCGCGATCTGTATTGTTTTAAAATATCTTCTGACGGGGTGTAATCGATTTTAAGGTTTAATGCATTTCGGCATGGTCTCTGCCTTGCTTTTTGTATTTTATCCTATGAAGGGAGAATCGATTGCTAAACGTATTTGTCAGTTCTTTTTCGCGTCCCCTCCAGAAATCAAGTAGCAGATACGGACGGTAAATCTCATCTGCCAATTCTTAGCTTCGTTTTTATATTTCGGTATAGCTCTGTAAAGTATCGTAAAGAGTGTACGTTCGGCTGATTTTTGAGACACAGTTGCACTACAAGTGTCTTTTAATTTCAGACCTGGACGGTTTATTGTATTGTGAGCTCCACTAGCAAGCTGTGTTTAGTAAACGCGCACACGGGAGGGATGCTAGCGACGGCAAACATGCTGGCATGCTACTAATCTGACAGTTTGGGTTTTCGCGTGAGATGTGTAATTAGCAAATTTCTCCTTCAGTACCTCAAGTGTTAGCAATCGGGACTTTTATTTGCAAATAAGCTCGAGTGACAAGTTCATCGCTTCAAGAAAACCCAAAGTTATATTTTTTTGGGGGGGGGGGAATAAAAAAACCCTTTTCATCCCTTATCGTTAAGTAATCTTTAATCTATTGCCCAATTATTAATTCTTAAAGTAACTGTCACGGGCATAGCTAGCGCCAAGGAGAAGTCAGAATGCAAAGAAAAATTCACGACATTTATTCAACGTATTAATCCCACCAACTTTATTGCACATAGCGAAGAATGCTTGCCTTGGCGCTTGGCTTTAGCGTTTATAGGGTGCTCCCCTTGCAGAGGGCTAGCTGATTTCGTCGGAGGTATAGTTTTTTGTCCATTAATAAAACGAGGCTAGGACGGGGCGGGGGGGAGAGCTCCTCGCTGGAAAACTGCAGGTGACAGGTCGTCCCGAAGCAGCTTTGCTCTTCTCGGCCGCAGCCGC